CACAGGGGATACATGAAGAATTACAGTTCTTCTGATAATTGCAGGGGAAATGGTGTCCCTCTTTACCAATCTGAAAATCTGGTCACCTTATGCATAGCCTTATGGAGGCCTATAGAGTGCTGCTGGGGGCTGAGGGGGGGGGGAATGGCCCGTTTTTTCTCATTTCTGCCCTCTCCAGCCCCCAGGAGTTGAAAGCCTCCATAAGGGTATGCACAGCCATTTTTGTGAATGGGCGGGGCTTCAGGAGGCAAAAAAATGCTGTATTCGATGTATAAGACGCACCCAGATTTTCAACCTCTTTTTTGAGGAAAAAAGGTGCGTATTATACTCCGAAAAATATGGTATGTTCTTCCCAAGAAATATGTATTAATGGAAAAGTTGGGTTAAGTCTATGCAGCACAGCAAGGTTACCAAAGATTGTGCTTGTGGGACCATGTCTGTACACCTGGTACATTTTTTCCAATGGTTAATAACTATATAGATCATAACAGCCTATATATTTAGTAGATTTTTCATGCACACATAATCTACTGAAAGCCCATTTTTTAAAATTCTATAGTAATGTTTTAGAATCATTATGGCTCATGTATAGCTAAATAAATATAATGACAGGTAGTCCTTGACCTACTACCAGAGGGGGGGGGCAAATTTCTATTGCTAACAAGACAGTTGTTAAGTGAGCTGTGCCCCATTTTATGACCCTTTTTGCCATGGTTCTTAAGTGAATCATTGCAGTTAAGAAAACATGAGGTTGTTAAATGAATCCGGCTTCCCCCCATTGACTTTACTTGTCAGAAGTTCCCTAGGAAGGTTGCAAATGACAATTCCAGGATCCTGAGACACTGCAACCATTGTAAATAAATGCCAGTTGCCATGTGCCCGAATTTTGACTGACTGACTGTGGAGAGCTGCAATAGTTGTAAATGTGAGAACTGATCATAAGTCACTTTTTTCAGTGCCATTGTATCTTTGAACTATCACTAAACAAATGGTTGTAAGTCAGACTACCTGTATTCACGTTTATGTTTATTAGAGCTTTTTGCTCTCCTAGATAGAAAGCTAAATTGAAAGAACAATTTTAAGGTGGAACCTCAAAAAGCAAGGAGGTATCTTTTGGTAAACAAGAGCTCTCCATATTCCTCTCTGTTGGTCATGCTAGCTGAGGATGTTGACTCACCCCTATCTAGACAACGCTGACAGTGGTAGAGTGGGATGCTGGGATTTCTGCACTCTGCTCATGTCTTTGTCTCCTCTATGAGACTTTCCATCGCCTCTGGTTAGTAAAGGCAGAAAATAGTGAGATCTTGATCTATACTGAGATCTCCTCAAACAAGGGAAAAAGAGAATAAGATGGAAATCAAATACAGTCTGGAAATACTCACAAGAACCACGGGTGTTTCTGAATCTGTTCCAGCTAAAGCCACCACATGGAGAAAAATAAACCAACATTAGGCTCCTTTTCCCAAAGATTAATTTAAAAAAAAGTTAGAAACTATGACTGCTCTATCCATCACTACCACTCATCATTAAAATATGTTGTTAATAATAAGATGCCCTTATCTTCAGACATTCAGTATATTAAAATAAACATAAAATAAACATAAAAGATTAACTGAATCTTAAAATAGATTTGTTTCAAAAGTCAGGGGCAGAGATATAACATGTAGGGCAGAATTGCTCAACTTAGATATGGCTCTTTAAAATCTCTTTTGGCCTTTCTAAAAGTTGTCATCAAATTATAATTTTTGAATAATGAGAGGATATTTTAGAACAATATTACCTATGCTTCTTTCAATCAAATCAAAATTAAATTTTGATCCAACCAGATCATATAAAAATCAACCATATCAGGGAAGAATTCTAACCCAACTCTTTTCAAATTCCTTCTGTGCCCAGTCACACCTGGCCAATAAAGAACTATTCCATTCCATTCCCACTGTTTCATAGAAATTTATGACAACCACTATCCTATTTTTATATTCAAGAGTGGCCCATCCTCAGAGGAAAACTCCAGCTTGCAATCTGAAATAATGCTACCCAGAGGCCCAGGGCCCTCCATCCTGTTCCACCACTCCAGTCTTGGGAATGATAGAATGACTCACGCTGAGACGTTTTTCTGGCTCCACCTCAATCATGCCCCGCAGGAGATTCTGACAGTCTGGCGGAATGAAATGGGGCATGTGAAAAATCCCACGTTTCACTTTTTCCAACAGCTGCCGTAGGTTGTCATCATCAAAGGGTAGCGCCCCCTGTAGGAGAAAAAGGTGAAATAAATTAAGACACCACAAAAGCTCCTTCAGATTTAAGGTTTTGCAGGAATTCCTTGGGTTAACATTACAGGTAGTCCTTGACTTAGAACTATTTGTTTGAAGTTACAACCATGGTCATGTCATCAGAATTTAGGCATTTGCCAATCATCATGAATTTACAATGGGTGCAGCATCCCAAGCTCATGGGATCACCATTTGTGACCTTCCCAGATGACTCCTACAAGTAACACCAATGGAGAAGCTGAATTTAAATCAGAATCGAGCTGGAAGGTACCTTGGAGGTCCAACCCCCTGCTCGAGCAGGAAACCCTATTGTCAACTCGCAAAGCATCCCTGGTCTGCTCTCAAGTTGCCACAGGAAAGGGGGAATGGGAAACCGATGAAACAGCACGGCAGCAAAAAACAGATGCACGTTCCAGACTTATCTCTCTCAAGGCTGTATCCCAGGGTTACTTACAGCAGCCGGAGGGGAGTGGTCTCTACAACCCACGAAATTGTCCCATTGGCGAATGTGATTGATGACACACCCTGAGGGGGGGAAACAGGGTCATGATTTGGGCCGTAAATTATGTGGGGTCAGAGCTGGCTTCACTTGGGTACGTGCCGACATGAAGCTCCTAATAAATGACTGGATTTCTTTTGAAGTTTGGCTCCAGGCTCATGATTTAATTAGGGCATCCATCAGAACCCTGACACCTATAACATTTCAGACAAGTGACCGTCCAGGCTCTAGTGATGAAGCACCCACAATGTCTGAAGGCAAGCTGTTCCATTGGTTAATTATCCTCACGGTTAGGGAGTTTTTCCTTAATTCCAGGTTTTGTCTCTCCTTGATTAATTTCCATCCACTGTTTCTTGTCCTGCCCTCTCTGGTGCTTTGGAAACTAAATTGACCCGCTCCTCTTTGTGGCAGCCTCTCAAATACTGGAATAGTGCTATCATGTGTGCCCCCCACTGTTCTTCTTTTCTCTAGACTAGCTGAACCCAAATCCTGCAATTGTTCTTTGTATGTTTTAGTCCATTGATGGCACATGTGCCAAATTTGGCACACATAGCCCTCTCTGTGGGCACACACACAGTTGCCCCAGTCCAGCTCCAATCACATTTCTCTATCACGTTTCACTCAATCAATTCCAACTTCTTGTGAAAGAAAAAGATCTCATGAAGTTGGAATTGATTGAGTGAACTTTTTTACTCGCACATTTCACAATGGGGGAGACAGGGTCCCATCCTCTTCCTGAAGCCCATTGTGACGCAGAGCTAAAATGCGAACCTGTGTTGTCTTGGCTCAGCAAAAAAAGGAGTTTCTTTTCCTGCAGAGCTGCCTGTTTTCGGATGCCCCACCTCCCTGCCAGCCAGCTGAGCATGGGTGCTCTGCTCTTGGGCTCATCGGCCTTTGGACCACCACCCAGCACTAGTTCAGAGGTTCCCCCCCATGGGGGGGGAGAAACAGAGGGAGGCAGAGAGAGAGAGAGGGAGGGAGGGAAAGAGAAATGATATTACAAAAGTTTTTCTTTTTTATTGTTGCTAAACGTAATGTTTCAAAAGCAGAAAAAGTCACCCCCAAAAAGTCTTTGAGGGATGAACACCAAGAAGCACGGATTTCCTCTGCCTTCTATGTTCCCAACCCATGCTGAAGCCAGAGGTGGGGCTCCACACTGCCACCTCCCAGCCAGAGCACCACACTTGTTTGCTTGCTGGTTGCCTCTGAGGAGGGAGCTGCACTCAGGCTGCCTGGGCCCCCACTGCGGGGGGGGGGGGAGGGAGAGGGAAGGGGGGAGAGAGGGAGAGGGAAAGGGGGGTCTCCCCAACAGGATCCAGGTTGGAGTTGCCTTATTTTGTGTGGCTCTCTAACGCTTGGCTTTGCCTGCCAGCCTCCCCCTCCACAGCCACTCCCCCTCCACAGCCCAAGTGGTTGGTGTTACATATTGAGACTGGAGCAATAGGTTCCACCAAAGTCCCCCATTCCAGCAGGAAAATACTCAAAGCCGATTAGCTGAGCCGTCTGACAGCTCCCTATAAAAGGGCTAGCTGTCAGACAGGCCAGCACTGGATTTGTATATAGTTGTCTAATAAAGAGCTGTTTGTTGTCACTGAAGCCTGAGTCCTGTCTCATCCGTTCACCCGATCTAACACTGGCAACGAGGATGGGATCGGAAGACAACTAGGCAGAAAGAGCTGACAACGCAATCCAGCAGAACACCCAGGCAGAGCAATCATTGTCGGGCACCAAGCAGCTATTTTGAGCCACAAAATCAAAGTTGCCTCAGCTAATCGAAATGACTTTTTACTACATGACGAGGTTAACCTGCAGTGGAGATTGCTGGTGAAAACCAATCTCACTCTACAAATAGCACTTGATGCGGCCAGAGCGACAGAATCGTCAACAAAATCTACAGAAACGCTGCAGAAACATGGCAGCCCAAAAAGCGCATGCAGAGCTGTCACGGTTCATCGCGAGAACACCGAGCAAGACCTCTTGTCTGACAGTGAGGATGAAGTTTGCCGCCTTCGTTTTGAAAGGAAAAAGGCAGTACATGAACCCGAAGGATGTTTTCCACCCTGCACCGGCTGTGGGGGAAACCACCAAAGATCAACCTGCTGTTTCAGGGACTCCATCTGCTAGAGGTGCGACTGGAGGGGACACCTGGCCCAAGTCTTCCGCACAACCCTACCGTCAGTCCAACAACCTGAACCTGAGTCTAGCCAGTCGGGACAACCGAGGCCACCCAGATGAGAGACCTGGAAGCCCTGATGGAGGCAAGAAAAGGCAGATGCAACAGAAGCATTCCAGATGAAGATTTGGCAAGCCAGCATGCCAAGAAATAAAAAGCTGCGAGTCACTATTGAGGGGTCATCGTGCAGCATGGAAATCGATAGCAGGTCATCCTTGACCACCGTATCCTGGACAACCCTGAAGAAAGTCATCCATAGCCTCCAGAGACAACAGCTGAAGCGCCAAGAACTGCGGCTCAGCGACTATCAGGGAAACCCCATCCCAGTCCTAGGCTGTGGCACATTCCGTGTCCAATTTAAAAACTTTGATGGGCCACTTACACTGATGGTGGTCAGCGGCTCCCTTCCAAGCCTGCTTGGCTGGGATTGGTTCAAATCCCTGGGCATGGGGGTAACTGGCATCAATGCCATCAACAACAACAGCACTGAGAAATTGCTCCACGAGTTCAAGGACATCTTCAGCAGAGACCTGGGCAAGTATGTGGAACTCCTATATCATTTAGCCTAGACCCCAATGTTGCACCAATCAGACTGAAGCCCCGGAGGGTCCCTTTTGCCCTCCGACCCAAAATTGACCAAGAATTGGACAAATTAATTGGCGAGGGGCTCCTGAAGCCTGTCGACCATGCCCAGTGGGAGACCCTTATTGTGACCCCTGTTAAGTCTGATGGGTCAATCTGCATCTGCACAGATTACAAGTGCACCCTGAACAAGGCCCTTTAGCAAAGCGCACACCAAATGCCAATCGTCCAGCACTTGTTGCACTCGCTTGGGCCAGGGAAAATGTTTGCCAAATTAGATCTGGTGCAGGCATACCAGCAATTGCCAGTAGATGGTGCTACAGCAGAGGCCGAAACCATTATGACACATAGGGGTGCATTCAAATGCACTAGATTGCAATTCGGTGTCAGCATAGCTCCCAGACTGTTCTAAAGTGTCATGGAACAACTTTTGTAGGGGATACCAGGAGTAGCCCCTTATTTCAACGACGTTCTGGTATCCACTGCAAATAAAGAGCAACTTTTCAAACACTTGAGAATTGTCCTCAACAGAATCAGGGCAAAGGGCCTCTGTTTGAAAAAAGAAAAATGTCAAATCGCGGTGCCAAGGGTTGAATTCCTGGGGTACCTGATAGACGGCTCTGGGATTCACCCAACAAATTCCAAAATTAAGGCTATTCAGGATGCTCCCACACCTCGCAACCAGACTGAGCTGCAGGCATTCCTTGGCCTTCTCAATTTTACAGCATTTTCTTGCAACAGAAGGCGACTATAATGGAACCTTTGCCTCGACTTTTGGGGAAGAAAGCCAAGTGGACCTGTGGCAGATCTGAAGCCGCAGCATTCGCTGCTGTCAAACGGCTGCTGTCAGCGGACAGCCTCCTGGTGCAATACAACCAGACTTTCCCTTTGGTGTTGACCTGTGACGCATCGCCTTTTGGCATATGCGCAGTCCTCAGCTATCACCTACCCAATGGAACCGAATCCCTGATTGCCTACTACTCCAGAACCCTGTCCACCGCTGAATGAAACTACAGCCAGTTGGACAGGGAAGCACTGGCTGCGGTGGCAGGAGTCAAGCGGTTCCATGAGTATGTGTACGGTCAAGACTTTGAACTTATCACTGACCACAAACCGCTGCTGGGGCACTTGGCTGGGGACCACCCTCGTCCTGCATCCCTCTCACCGCGAATGACTTGTTGGACTGTCTTTCTAGTGGCCTACAACTACTGACTTGTTCACCACCCCAGTAAGACTCTGAGTCATGCTGATGCCCTTAGCAGGTGCCCACTGCCAGAAATTTTGGACGATCCTACCCCCAACACACAGGTCTTGCTTATTGACTGTCTGGAAGCAGGACCAGTGACGTCAAACGAGGTTGTGCTTCACTAGGCTAAAGACAGAACCATTGCTCAGGTTCTGCACTGTGTGTGGAGGGGGTGGCCCAAGGGGCTGGTTGGGGCAGAGTTTAAACCATTTATTGCAAAGCAAAATGAACTGTCTGTATTGCACGGATGTGTGCTGTGGGGGAACGAGGTGATTGTTCCACCCAAACTGCGAGTTGCAGTATTAGAAGCTTTACGTGTAGGGCATCCGGGAATTGTCCAGATGAAAGCATTGGGTAGGAGTTTCATGTGGTGGCCTAACATGGACGGGGAGATCGCAGAGTGGGTAGCTACCTGCACACTGTGCCAGGAATCCCGACCAGCTTCCCCAGAGGCACCCGCACATGAATGGGAAAGGCCCAAGGCACCCTGGTCCAGGGTGCACATTGATTTTGCAGGCCCCGTGGATGGGCAAACTTTCCTCATAGTTGTGGACACCTACTCGAAATGGTTAGAGGTAGTCCTCATGACCACCACCACGGCAGAGGTGGTCATCAAGGTGCTACAGAGACTTTTCTCCACACACGGACTGCCCAATGTCTTGGTTTCAGACAACGGGCCCCAATTTATGGCCATTCAATTTGAAACCAATTTAGCAAAGCAGGGAATCAGAAATCCCCTGGTTGCCCCATTCCGGCTTGCAATGGTCAATCTAGGATGGGGCCTAGTGATTGGCAAACCCGAATCAATAAATTCCTCCTTGTGCAGCACATCATGCCAAGTGCCACTACAGGAAGAAGCCCCTCTGAACTGTTAATGGGTCACCGGCTGAGGTCTTTCTTGGACCGGTTGCACCCAAATTATTCTGCCGAGCCCCCAATTGATTCAACCAGTCAACTCTAGGGTTTCCTGCCTAGGCAGGGGGTTGGACTAGAAGACCTCCAAGGTCCCTTCCAACTCTGCTATTGTATTGTATTGTATTGTATAGGGGATCAGGTATATGCCCACAACTATGCTGGGGGTGCTCTCTGGGTTCCTGCCACAATTATTGAAATTACTGGCCCTCGCTCGTATGATTAGAGCTCAACAATTAGCTGAACTCTGCCTTGTTTATCATTATTTTAGGTAGTAAAACCTGAGTATTCAGTTTAAATTGCTATGTTGGCACTTTGCGATAAATACCACTAAGTGGGTTTTGAGTTGCAGTTTGGCCACCCAGTCTCTAAAAGGTTTGCCATCGTTGTTTTAGTCTCTAGGCCTTTAATCATTCTTGTTGCTCTCCTTTGCACTTTTTCAAAAGTCTCAACATCTTTTTTGTAATGTGGTGACCAAAACTGGATGCAGTTAATGACCCCATGATACACTTAACTGCAGTGATTTGCTTAACACCCATGGCAAAAAAGGTCATAAAATCAGGCACGGTTCACTTAAGAATTGCCTTGCTAAGCAGTGGAGATTCTGGTCCCAACTGTGGTCATAAGTCAAGGACTAGATGTAAAGGCCAAAACACTGTCTAAACATGAAGGCGTGTACAGTAATATTGGTCCTTTGCCCTAATCTCCTTTATTAATCTTTCTCTCACCCTTTCACTGTCACCTCCCTCATGTCAAACATTATCAGGACAACAATCAGAATCACTGGGAATTGGTCAGTACAGGTAGTCCTTGACTTACAACAGTTCATTTAGCAATGGTTCAAAGTTAAACCAGCACTGAAAATAATGACTTAGGACTGTTTTTCACACTTACGACCACTTCAGCATCCCCATACTCACGTGATCAAAATGTGGATGCTTGGCAACTGTTTCATATTTATGACGGTTGCAGAGTCCCTGGGTCATGTGATCACCTTTTGCGACCTTCTGACAAGCAAAGTCAACGGGGAAGCCAGATTCACTTAACAACCGTGTTGCTAACTTACCAACTGCAGTAAGGTTTATGAAATAAACCTTTCATTTAGCAACATAAATTTGTGGCTCAATTGTGGTCATAAGTCGAGGACTACCTGTATATAATTTTAATAAATAATAATAAAAGTGATAACTTTTGCAGGTAGTCCTTGACTTACAACCACAATTGAGCCCAAAATTTATGTTACTTAGTGAAACATTTGTTAAGTGAATTTTGCCCCATTTTACAATCTTTCTTGCCACAATTGTTAAGTGAATCATTGCAGTTGGTAAGTTGGTAATTCTGGGAGTTGAAGTCCACAAGTTATAAAATGGCCATAGTTCCCCACCCCTGGTCTAAATGGATCCCTTGGGCAGAAGACAATAGAACTAAATTGGGGGTTAAATGCTCCCTAACAGGAGCAAGCAAAAATGCTTAGGATAAGCTTACCACCAGGAGGGCGAAGAGGATGACACCACAACTCCACATGTCCGCACAACGTCCATCATACTTCTCCCCCTAAAAAGCAAGAAGCAGTGATTGGGGGCTTGATAATTGGTTTGGGGAGGGAAGGGAGAAGATTTCAAGAAACAATGAAAAATAAGAAATCAGAAGTGAGGGTAGGAGGTTTTTCCAAGCATTAAGAGCAACCGCAAAGGGGGATAACTATTACTGGGGTATAATATGATTTTTTTTAAAAACAACACTAAAATGATAGCTGTTCTTCACTATGTCCCATTTGGGAAGAGAGATAAGGGGAAGAGACCTGCAAATACTGAGGGGAAAGTTTACTTTTTGATTAAGGAGAGTTTGCAAAATCTTATCACCATATATTAGGTTGATATTTCTTGGAAATCCATGTGGACATGGAGATTTTTTTCCCCTTTGTTTTCCTGTGATTGGCTTTTCCAGTATTTTTTTTTTAATTAGAATAGTGCCCAGCAGAATCTAAGTTTCGGTGCACACATAGTCACACAAAAACAGAAAATTGAGATCCCCAGCAATGTTCTTGAGAATGCAGAGAGATTATTTCCTCTAACTTCAAAATATTCTTACTAGCTGGGAGAAGGAAATCAGTATAAACCTTCTGGATTAGATTTTTGATGATACTGGAATCGTATATATGGTGCATGAAAGTGCATATGGAGCATGAAAGTGCGTGCATATAGGTACAAGTTCATTATAATAACTAAAATAATTCAATTACAGGTAGTACTTGATTTACGGTAGTTGAATTTTTGACAGATTCAAAGTTCTGACAGCCCCCCCACCCCTGGCAGTCATGTGGTCACATTGCAGGCACTTGGCAACTGGCCTGCATTTACAACCTTTTGCAGCATTCCACAGTCACATAACATAAATTTATAATGGTTTTTGCCAGAAAGTGGTGTTTACTTCTGGTCTGAACTAAAAAGGCCGATTGTGGGCAATGTATGCACTTAACAACCACTACAAAAAAAGGTTGTAAAATCAGACATGGTTATATGGTGACCTGCTTAATGACTGGTATGACTTTTGACCATACTTCCAGGCTCAGTTGTGGTCACACATCAAGGATTACCTGTATAACTTTAAAAATATTTAGTTTCTACCTTCTATATTTGTTCTGAAGTACAATTTTGACTCAAACCAATATGTGTTATTTAAATTTTTTAAAATACCTGTTTGAATTGTCTGAAATATTGTGTCAAGCTGTGAAACCTAGGTGTGCTTACAATCTGGGGTGACTCTCTGGATCTTTTTAACTTACAACTCCCAGCGGTCCTAATGGCGAAGGATGAATGCTGGAAGTTGTCATTCTAAATGGCCACAAATATATAATATATAATTGTTCCAATTGAAGAGCCAATTGAAGCAGGATAAAGCAGATTTTGAAGGGCTCCTTGCCTTGATCCATTGGACAAGTGGAGAGGGGGGAATCAGATACCAACAAAGATAGGGGGAGGGCACTAGGCCTGAATCCTTACCTTGATCACCTCTGGACATGCATAGTGAGGAGAACTGCAACCCAGCATTGGGGGCAGAAAAGAAAGAGAAAGACAGAGAGATAGGAAGAGTGAAACACCAAAGAAAGTTAACCCATAGGGACATGGGTTCAACAAGCATGTGAAGAGAAGCCTGTGAGATATACCACCCTTCCCCAGTCTAAGATGGGTTGTGGGAATCCTTGATTTTTAGATGTTTGGTGGATTTCAGGCGCCAGGACAATCCTTCCTTGCCATCCTTAAGTCAATTCTGGAGTGGCCAATTATCCCACTAGAGGGGAATTGCTCAGAATTGCAGCTGAACCCATGTGGTTTGGAGAAGACCATTCTAGGCCATTCCACATCTAGCACAAGTGGCTTCTTCAGCAACTTCCCCACATCTCTAGAAGTGGTGGAATCTTTTCTTCCTTTCCACTAGAGACAAATATGTCACTTCTTTGAGGACAGCCATCAAATGAAATTCTTATCTCCTAGCTGGGAAATCTGAAGACCAAGCTAAAATTGACACTTACACAATTAGGAATTGTGGACATGACTTTTTAAAAGGAAATTGAAGCTGCGAGGAGGGAAAAATCTTGGTAGGGATTCTGGCACTACGGAATCAACTTCTTCAACAGATGTCATTTGTTTTAAGAAGAAAAGTGCCATCATTGCACAAAGGAGTCATGGTTGGTGCAGTTGGCTACATCTGTTGGCTGAATCTCATCCCCTGTGTATGTTATAAGACCATAAATTTGTGGTTGAATGAGAAGATGTTCTGCAAAGAGTTTCCACATCCAAAAATATATGATTTATATTTTCATTGGTGGAAAACATCTTCTATCCTACTTATAGCAGCTCTTTGATGAATTTGCCTCTCTACTTGCAAAGGAGCAATTCACATTTCAAATATTAAGTAAGAGCAGATATTTCTGATTCACTTATATTGACAATGACAATAATAATGTCCATCTAAAGTCAAAAAACAGCTTACCTAGGTTCCCAGACATATATTTC